GGGTTGCGCACCAGGCAGCTGTAGGTGCCATTGGCGCCCAGCACCACCCTCAAGACGCTGCGCACGTCGAACAAGCCCTGTTCGTTGGCCATCTGCGACGTGGTCACGTTGCCGGTCAAGGGCGCACCCTGCCCATCCTGCCAGAACACCTCGGCCTCAGGGTAGCCCCGGTAACTGGAGCATGTGATGGTCACGATGTCCCCTGGCCGCAGGTCCTTGTTGGGTTCTAGGGTCATGCTGGGCTTCGAGTACGGGGCTGGAAGGTGGCAGGGGCAGTAGTCAAGGGGAGGGGAAGAAAAGAATGCGTGGGGCCCTTAGCACGGGGTCAGCACTGGGGCTTCCGTTCCAGGGACAGTGGTGCACAGAGGGTGGGCTGCGGGAGGGTCAGACGCTGGACTGAGGGGGAAGGTGCCCCCTCCCTGCGCTCACCCGCCACCTGCAGGCTGACCGCGGCACTGCCGAAGTCCCGGATGCTCACGAAGCAGGTGAAGCTGCCCTCGTCCGCCACGCGCACGCGCTGCAGCCTCAGGGACGCGTTGCCCTGAGCCAGCAGGTCGGGGAAGAGAGCTGTGCGGTTGGCGTAGGCGCTGCCCTGGTCCCGGCCCTCGGTGAAGCTGTGTACCAGCTGTTTGGTGTCTGTCAGCTGCCAGATGAGGTTCAGCTGCGCCAGGCTGAAGTCAGGCTCAGGGGAGAAGGAGCAGCGCAGGGTGGTGTCGGTGCCCACTAGGGCCACCACTGGGTCTTCAGGGACCTGGACCTCCATTGCTCCTGGGGACAGAGAAGTGGAGGGGTAGGGGTCTCTCCCAGCCTTGCTAGTCCCCCTTCACTCTCCCATAAACCCCATGCCCTGCCTACTCCTTTTAGGCCCGAGACCCAAGGTAAGTTTATTGCCTCCTCATTCAGTCCAGGAGAATATAGGGAACACCCACTGTACCTGGTATGAATTAGGAATGCAACAGAGAGCAAGACCAAGGTCTCACCATTCTAGAACTTACATTTTAGTAGAAGAGAGGGACAAACTAGCATACAAATTCTCACTAGCATGTAATTAGAGTATGAAAGAAGAAAAGCCAACAGATTAGAAAGTAAAGAAGTAGCTTTTCAAAAATCTGGCAGGTACTTTACACCTGTCTGTGCTATTTGCATTTCCCCATAAGCATATGTTATTTTATAAATTGGAAAGGGAAGTTTAGAAAGTATTCAACAAAATTGTTAATAGTAGTCTTCTCTGTGATGAGAAGATCATTATAAGTGCATCTATCTTTTCCTAAAAAACATGACTAGTTTTTGTATAAGAAAGAATACCCATAATTTAAATATGACACAGTCCGTGTCCTCTTTAAAGATGTATTAAGCCAAGATTTACAGGGAATGAAAAAGAGCTGACATACAAAAAGCCAGTGTAGGAGTTTTCCAGGTAGAAGAAACAGCAGGTAGGAAGCTCTGACATTCTGTGCGAAAATATCAGGAAGTGTCCAGTATGGCAGAAGCATCTGGATAGAGGGCATGTTTAAATCAGATCAAAGAGGCCTTTGAGAGACCAAGTAAGGGATTTAAGTTTTTTCCAAGAACAATGAGAAGTCACTGGGGAATGTTAATCAGGCACAATCTGGATACCAAAGCTTAACCTTCTCTCTCTCTCCTCTGAGGGGAGCAGATTATAGAAGGGTAAGAGGGAGACCATTTAGGAGGTTATTTCAGCTGTAAGAAGTAGTGGTGGTGAGGCTAGTGCCTGTAGCTCAGCAGCTAGGGGGCCAGCCATATACATTGGAGCTGGCAGGTTCAAATCCAGCCCAGGCCTGCCAAACAACAATGACAACTGCAACCAAAAAATAGCCAGGCGTTGTGGCAAGTGCCTGTAGTCTTAGCTAGTTGGGAGGCTGAGGCAAGAGAATTGCTTTAGCACAAGAGTTTGAGGTTGCTGCAAGCTGTGATGCCATGGCACTCTACCCAGAGCAACATAGTGAGACTCCGTCGCAAAAAAAATAGTGGTGATATGGTTTCAGAGACTGGCAGGGGAGATGGAGAGAATGGGACAGATTCAAGGTTTGTTTAGGAGGGAGGATCACCAGGGCTGGTGGATAAATTAGACAGTGAAGGTAATCCCAGTAGTCTAGAGGCAACTCCACCCCCAGAGGCAGGGTGAGGCTGTCCAGAGCCTGAGCCCCGGCAGCAGGGTCCCCTGCCCCCACCCCTACCCTCTATCCTAAGGAATTACCCTGCTACTCCCCATCAAGTCAGTCACCTCTGTCTCTTCTCTGAGAGACCTGGAATGTCAGGCAGGGGTTCCTGATAGCCTTTCTTCTGGGGCGATGAGCCCCCTGACCCTAGCACTGCTATTCTAAGATAATGGTTAGATCAAGTATGTGCTTTGGCTAACAAAGCAGACACACTCAAAATTTGTGAAGATCAAAGTCTTGATCTAGTTGAATACAGGACTCATTAAAGGTTTCTTGCGTTTAGAAAAATAACATTTATTTTATGGTTAGTATTTTTATTGTGAATTCCACACAGGGAGAGTGTATCATAATCTTCGCAACACAAGGAGGTCTCTCAAGGTCTTAAGCTGGCCCTGGATCTCTTGTTGCCTGGGTGCATCAGGCCACTTCTTATCGCCTGCCAGATGGACTGAGACTCCCCTTGTAGGGGGCATCTGGAGCATGAAACCTGAGAAGTCACCTAGACAAAACCCTTTCTTAGAGAAATCAGAGCAACCATGGGTGAGAGGTGCAGCACGTGTGCTGTGACCACAAGGTGGCGCCAGACACTCAGCTTTGTCTTTCCGGTGGACAAACAAGTCTCCCTCAGAGAAAAGCTGCTGATTAGGATTGGAAATATGATGATATTGTTATTAAAGTAGCTGCTATTACTGACTATATGCCAAGCATATATGAGAAGATGCACCTCATTTATTCAACACAGTTCTCAAGCACCCCTGTAGCAGACACTCATCCTTCCTCGGGGTAGACCCTGCACTTACAACAGTGGGGGATGGGGTAGAGGCCGTGAGTAATGGGCAAGGAAACATATAGCCTGTCAGGGGAGGTAAATCTGGAGGTAAATCCAAGAAAAATGCAGGAAGGTGGGTATAGGGAGGTATGCAGAATGATGTGCTATTGTATACAAGGTAACCAGCAGAGTCTTGCTGAGGAGGTGTCATTTGAGCAAAAGACCTGAGCCAAATAAGGGATCAAGTCATGCAGATGCCTGGGAGAGCAGAAAGTTCCAAGCAGAGGAGACGTGTGTGCAAAGGTCTTGAGGAAAAAGCACACACAGTGTGTTCAAGAAATGGCATTGTCACATGTAGTGCTCACCTGTGCATTTTACAGATGAAGAAGTGGAGGCTAAGAAAGGTATAGTAAGTTGCTTACTGGATCCCACATGTAGAAATGACTGTGGGCCTGCTGGCCAGAGCCAGCTTGGCAGGACCCCTGGTGGGAGTGGGCACCCCTCCCACACTGTCCCTCCCTGTGCCCCACCTCCAGTCCCCATGCTGCCCCTCACCTGTGAGGCAAAACCACAGCGCTCCTAGCACTGCACCCACATGCACACCTGTACCAGGCCTGCCCCCTCCACGCAGCATCTTCCTGTGAGGCAGGTGACACCTGGGCTCTCCACAGTGGAAGGCTGTCCCTGCCTGGGAGGAAGAAGAAGGGAAGCCTTTGTCTGTACATCTCTCTCTCTCATCACATCTCACCACATCTCCCCTGGACCAGCTTTGGGAAGGATACAGCTTCCCACTGGGAGGTCCTCCTTCCATACCCCACAGGGCTCCCTGCTGAGGGATCTCTGTGAGAGAGGCTGGCACCAGGGAAGCTGGGATCCACTCTTTCAGCTCTAAGATGCTGGTATCCAAACACAAGGAAGAGGAAGCAAGGAGCCAAGTAAAGGCCAGGTGGGCCTGCCCTGGAGCAAGATGTGGGGATCAACTTGGCTTGAGACAACAGCTGGTAGGGAAGGGCAGGAGCTCAGACTGGAGCCCAGGTTAGGGATCAGCTAGGAGGTGTGAACTTCATCCTAAAGATAGCTGGGAGCCACTGAAGGTTCTAGAATAGGGGGAGCTTCATAAGGTTTAATCTGACAGCACCTGCTGTCAGGATAAACAACTGGAGCTAAACCAGTGATTTTCAACCTGTGGGCCATGAGAGGATCTTAGAGATCATTAATTAAATTATTTTCAAAAGAAGTTCAAAGAACAGTAAGCATATTCTTTCTTTTCTAACTCTTTTTTTGAACAACATAACTGAAGTCTGCTGTGGAAGTTTAACTATAGGTTCAAATGTGCCATGAGACAAAAAGGTTGAAAAACACTGGGCTAGACCGAAGAGAAGCAGCAGCAGCAGCTGAGGACATGGGGATAGAGAAAGGGAGCAGTCAGGGTGTCCATGGGTTTGAGCCTCCTTGCCCAGGTGGAACATTCACTGAGGCAGAGAACATGGATGTGTGAAGTTAGTGGTATTTGTGACTCCCCCCGCCACCTCACCCCTGGCAGAGTTACAGGAAGCAGGTGGGCGTATGGGTACAGGACTTGAAAGAGAGGACATTTGCTAGTTTGACAAATCTGACATATTTGTATTGAGTGACCAAGACAGATCAGAAATGGAAGAGTCCCAGGACCAAGGCTGGAGTTAGGACTGAGTAGCAGTCAAGGCTGTGGCCTGAGCCAGAGGGCCCAGACTTCCCTCCTCCTGATGTCAGCCACCCCGAAGTGCCTGCCTGAGGCAGGCTGTACACACCTCTTCCCTGTGTCCCACAGCTGCTGCCACGTCTCCGTCAAGTCACACAGCCAGTGTCCACCTAGGCCGACCAACAGTGATCATCAAGAATGGAAACAATTTCACATCCTCCGAACACCCTGGGAGACAGGCGGCACAGCTGGGGCCCACTTTGCAGGAGAAAAAAAAAAATTAAAGCCCAGGTAAGTGATTTGGTTAGTGTCATGTATTACTCATTTGCCACTGAGCAAGTGCAGAAGAGTCCTTTGTACCCTTCCCTGGAGCCAACCTCATCAGCAGCCATTAGCCTCAATTACAGTCATCCCAGGCACCCAAGCTCTCAACCCTTCCCTTCCCAGCCAAGCACACCCAGCCCCCAACCCTACACACATCCAACAGCTGGGCTAAGGGAGTCCCTCAGGGAAACCAGGTGCATCCTGGCCAGCCCTCCCCCTCCCTCAGCTGTCCTCCATGGGGAAGCCCTGAGCAGCCACTTCCTGTCCAGACGCTTCCCGTCCAAAATCTGGCAGCCTCAAAGCCATCCCGTGTGCTGAGTCAGCGGCCTTCCCCACTCCATTCATAAAGCGCCCTTGGCGGGCACCACATCCTGTTCAGTGAGGACACCCGGCCCACAGGAACACCCAGCAGGCAGCTGCCCGCATGCTGCCACCACCCCCCACCCCAGATCCCAAGTCTCCCTACCCTGCTTCACCCCGGGACAGGACCACGCCTATGGGTTCTTCCTGGGCCACCTCCCTCACCCTTCCTGCTCCTGCTTCTTCTGCCATCTCCCACCCTAACCTGGGCCCCCCTGTGACCCTCCTCACTTGCCCTGCCGGCTCCACTCTTTCCCTGCCATCCTCTTTCTCAAGGTGCTTTCTCTTAGGACCTAAGACTCATCCCTCCCCTGCTCAAGAGCCTCCTGTGGCTGCCCACTAGGCAAGCCCACATTCCTCTGCTGGCACTCAAGACCCTTCTCTGACTGACTCCATACACCAGGCTAATTCCTGCCACTGGAGTTTACTGCTCACAATCACTCAAGAGCGACACCCGCAGGCACGTGGGGGAAGCAGAGCCCCTCTCCTGATCAGACCAGCCAGGGCTCCCCTGAGGCCAAGGTGTCCTTCCCTCCAGAGAGAGGAGGAGGGGCTTCTGGGACTGGGCAGTGGGCTTTTCTCCCTAGATTCCTTTCCTAGACTCTGAGCCCTGGAAAGCCACCCTCACGGCCTGCCCTGGAGAGAAGCAAGAGACCTGAGAATCTACAGCACTCAGAGACAACTGCCCAAGAGCTGGGCCTCAAGGAGCCGAGGCAGGAGGGAGAAACACATCTCAGAGATGAAGTGCTGCTCAGCGAATGGGAGGGTGGCCTGAGAATAGAAAGCCAGTCACTGTCACCTGGACAGATGGGCAGCCCTGGTACCCAGAGCCACATGGAGACAGGCAGACCTCACGCTACACACAAAATACCCACCCACCTTGTCTACGAAGGGGAATTCTCATCCCAGGCAAAAACGTGCCCTGGAGTCAACATGTGCCACCCCTCCCTGTGAGTCACCAGCCAGCCCACCCTCCTCTTCCCCCTTCCTCCACCCCAGCCTCAGACAAATGTGGGAACTCCACAGAGCCCTGCTGGGAAAAACCACCTCGGGTTTTCACAGAGAAGCGGGAGTGAGAGGCCAGGCCAGTCTCAGCTTGAGGCTACAGCAAGTAGTCAGCAGAAGCAAGGCCACAGAGAAGCCCATAAGAGATAACCCAACGGTGCCCCTAAAAAGCGAAAACAGCAACAAAACCAGACTGAGCCTGGGCTCTGGGCCAAGATGTACTGGGCCTGGGGGTGCCCAAGGGAATCGCCTCGCACCCACCAGGACCACCACCATCACCCCACATTCTCCTAACTCCCACCTCCTCCTAACCCCTGCAGGGGCTCCTTGGTTGACACTTCCCACAGGCCCACAAAGAGGACAAGAAGGGTCAGAGAGACAGAGTTCTGAAAATAGCATGTAAGTCCCTGATCCAGCCATGCCCAAAGCAAGTGGCATACCAGACACTCTGGCCCATCACTTTTTTTTCCTTAATCAGGTTTAAAGTAAGTTTCTATTATCCATGACTAAAGGAGTCCTTGAATATACATTCATTTACATCTTCAATAATTCATTTTACTATTCAGGAGAGCAATGGATAGATGACTAAGCTGTCTGTCCTCGAGGAGCAGGTTGTCACTGGGAAGGTGAACACGCACGTAATCACGGCAGTTCAGCACAGTATACCGCTGAGACGCAGTAAGGGCTACTGGAGCCACCTCAGAGACACGATACCCCAAAGGTAGGCCCTGAAAAGGAGTGGTGGTTCCCCAGGCTGGGAAAGGTGGTCCCTTCCCTGACCTCGAGAGACCTATCCTTCTGGCACTGCCTGTTGGCCTCCCCACCAGATCTTGAAATTGTAGAAAATGAAGCCAAAGCACAGGGTTTTAGTCCCAACTCTGATACTTTGCTGTGCAGTCTTAACTAGGCGATTTCTCCTTTCTGAGCTCAATGTTCCTACCTACAAAAGAAAAGTTCTGTGGGTGCTAGTAGAACTTCATCAGTACTTCAACCTTCCAGGTACTATATCCTTAAGGTTTAGCCAATTTGCTGCCATGCAAGTCACACTGAAATGTACAAAGTGACTGTGGCAAAAACTATTAGTTGTCCCCTTCTCCCCTTCTGTAGAAGTTTTAGGTAGGCACATGGCCACTCAGCTAAAGACTGCAGATCCCAGCCTTCCTTGCTGCTGGGTGTAGGCGTGTGACGTGTGCACTGATGCGTTTGATGTGTGTAACTTCTGGGCATGCCCTTAAAGAGAGGGAGCATACCCTCTCCTTTCTACCCCCTTCCCACTGACTGGAACACAGACACTGTGAGCCATCCAGGACCACACTGCCAAAGGCAATACCGCGGGGACTGCAGAGCAGCACAGCAGAAGGACCCCTGAGGGACTGTCATATCATCCCTGGAAATGCCTGGACAGTTACATGGGTGAGAAATAAACATCTATTGAAGCTTAAGTCACTGTTATTTTAGGTCTTTCTTACAGCAACTGAACTAATTTTAGGGAGCCATCCGTCCCTTACCATCTCTCCTCTTCCCCTTCTCCCTAACCCATGAAAAATTGCCAGTGCCCAGAGCCACACAAGGAAAACACACCTAAAATAGGTATCTCAAAACGTGAACTGGAGACTATTTTATCAGAGTCACTTAGTGACACCTGAGCTCAGCTTCAGACATATTTCATGGGCAGAAGTGGCCAGGTTGGGCCTTTGTATGGAAAGGAGGACACACTGAGGCCTTGCACAAATGAGCAAATGTGGGCACACACTAAGATGGGGAGACCTGGAAGCGAAACATGTTCAGGGGGAAAGTACAATTCCTATGGAGCTCTATGGATCACACCAAAATGTTCCAGGGACTCCTGGACACACAGAGCGGGGGCTCAAAACAGAGGGTGACAGAGGAGTCATGCTTACATTGGTGGTGACAGAAGGCAATGTTAAGATTACTCAGGGAGATGGTGGAATGGAAAGAGGCCCCAGGGTAAATTCTGGAGAAACTACAGAAGTTAATGGTCAGGTGTCAAAACAGGGATGGCCTCTCCAATGACTGTCACCCACTGCCTCAAAGGCAGTCTGCTTGCTTTTGGACAGATGACCTCATACTGAACCCAAATTTGTCTCCTAATACAGCCCACATCTGTCTTCATCTGATCCTTGGACCATTCAGAACAGGTGTGCTCCTTCCTTATTACAGCCTTGTATGTATTTGATCTTCCTTGATGAAGTCACCATTGGGTAGCCAATGTCACACCATTCATCAGAATAACCCAAAATAATAGACTATAGTCAATGATCAGAAGTCACACTCATTGCGAGTAATCCACACTTCTGCCTT